TATATATATATATATATAGTATATATATATAGGTAGCATATATAGTAATAGGAAATAAGGAATTTAGAGCCAGACAAATGTGAATTCAAATTCCAGCTCCTTCTTACTTTAGGGTTTGACTTTGGAAAATATATTACACCATTCCAAGTGTTACTATTATATCTTTCTCTTAGAAGTGGAAACAACCTTTATTATATGACTTTGTGAAGAGTAAATAACATTTGTAAGCTTCCTGGCAATAAGCAAGGTAGCTCAATGAAAATCAGTTCTCTTCTCCCTCAATCTACTTGAACGCATATTCTTTGTTAACGTATCATTTGTAGGTGGTTAAAAGCATGAGCTCTGTAGTCAGACAAAGGTTTAAATTCTGGCTCCACACATCTATTTACAGTATGATATTAGGCAAATTACTTAACATCATTTGCCTTTGTTTCCTAATCTATAAAATGGGGACAATAACAGTATCTACCTTCAAAGGCTTCTGTGTAAATTACATAAGAATAAAAGAGGTGGCTGGTTAGCTCAGTTAGTTAGTGTGGTGCTGATAACACTAAAGTTGCTGCTTCGATCCCGATCCCCGAATGGGCCACTGTGAGCTGCGCCCTCCTCCTTAAAACAAAACAAAACCAAACCCAGAATAATATAATATGCTTGAGACCACGACTTATACACAGTGTTAAACAAATGTCAGGTACCAGTACTATTTTCCTTTTGTTCTAGTTTACAAAATACAAATTATTTCATCTGAGTCTCATAACTCTATGAGTAAAGCACCCGTTCATATAACAAATATTTATTCAGTACTTACTATGTGCCAGGCAGATATTCCCATTTTCCAGCAAAGGAAACAAACTCTGAAAACTTACTGGATTTGCCAGAAGATCTGGTAAATGGCAGAGAGAAGTTCCAAGCCCAGCTCCTCTGAGTCTAAAGCCATCTGCCCTATCTGGTTGTTATGTTTTGATGTCTTAAATATTTAACTCTTTAACCTATCTGTAATTTATTTTTTGCCTTTTCTACTTTCAAAAGAATTCTCATTGACAGGAAAGACAATCAAATAGTTGTATTTTCATATCTGTTAACAATTCATCATCTGTCTCAAAACAGTGTCTAAGCCTTTTTCTCCTGACACTCTGAAGGTTACAAAAAGGCCCTCCGTACGGTGCTCTCTGCATTGTTTGCAGGATTCTGTCAGCAATGGGTTTTGACCTTCCATTTTTACTTTTCTGTTATTGTCCATGACTAAAGAGCCTTTCTCCCAATTTTAGAACACTCAGAATTTTAGCTAATCAGAAAGCATTCACTATTTTTCATTGGCATTTCTCTCATTTATACACTCATAATTTCAATGTGACTCACAGAGCAAGTGCTGCCTTTCCTTTGAAGAGCCAAAGCTATCTTTCATGTCAATAAAGTTTCTGAAGCCTGTTTTCATAAAGTTGAGGATAAATATACCCAGAATTCTCTTACTTGTTTATTACAAACTCTTTGATGACAAGATCATTTTCTTTAAAGGTTCTTGTCAAATATACATTACATACCAGTTCTCCATGGTTGATTACAATTAAATTCAAGAAGCAATTTATCTTATGGCTTTTCAAGATCTTTTTAAACATAAAACTGTCAGTATATACATTGATTTATTCATTCATTTAATGAATATGGAGTGTCTACTATGAGTCGGCCATTATTTTAGGGGTTCAGCAGTAAGAAAACAAAGCACCTGCTCTTGTCGGGCTCACATACACTAGCAGGGAAGATAATTAACAAATGAGTACAGAATACAGTGTCAGACAGTGTTACTATAAAAACAGCAATGACAAAAAATGACAGGGAAATGACAGTAAATAGCATCTTATTAGATGCCCCAGAAAGATTTCTCTGAGAAGGCATTTGAGCAAAGAACTGAATGACAAGAGAGAATAGGCCAAGAGAGGATCCTAAGGGTGGGGTCTGGGAGAGGAATGGTACAGGCACAAAAAAGAGCAAATAAAAGTCCTAGGGCAGCCGGCCTAGTGGCTCAGTTGGTTAAGAGTCCGCTCAAGAGTGTAAGCTCTGAGCAACAGGGTCACCGGTTCGATTCCCACATGGGCCAGTGAGCTGCGCCCAAGATGCGCCTGAGCTGAGCTGCCAACAGGTGGTAGGGTGGCTCAGCTGGTGAGAGCATGTGCTCCTAACAACAAGGTTGCTGGTTAGTCTCCCGCATGGGATGGTGGGTTACACCCACCCGCAACTAAGATTGAACACGGCACCTTGAGCTGAGCGGCTGCAAGCTGCCGACAGGCAGCTGGATGGCGACTGGACTTGGCAGATGGGCTAGCTGCGCCCTCCACAACTAAGACTGAAGGACAACAACTTAGCTGTTCCCCTTCCCCAATTCCCTAATAAAATAAAATCAAAAATCAAAAAAAAAAAAAGTATAGAACAGTAGGATGTACTTCCATTTCCCAACACTCATCTTCCAACAATTTTTATACGTCCAACTTAGTTTCATCTAAAGCTGCCCCCACTCTTCACCTTTTACCTGGTAGACTATTTTATTAAAACAAACCCCAGATAGGGGCGGCTGGTTAGCTCAGTTGGTTAGAACACAGTGCTCATAACACCAAAGTTGCTGGTTCAATCCTCCCATGGGCCACTGAGCTGCGCCCTCCACAACAATATAGATTGAAACAATTACTTGACTTGGAGCTGATGGGTCCTGAAAAAACACAGTTCCCCAACTAAAAACAAACAAACAAACAAACAAACAAAACACCAAATCCCAGATAATATATTTCATTTTAAGGAGATTCCAATCAGCATAACATGTGATCCTAGACCTGGTAACCCAGCATCTTTCAAAGCCTTTAAGGCAAATTCTAAGTTTCCTCTAGGTTACCTGAAAGGACCATAGTACATAACACATTTTCCAGGTACATTAATTTACCCAAAAGTATTTTTTCCATGTCTGTTATAGATAAACTACATGACTAAGTATGATGATTATTCCTAGATTTCTAGTGCCTGTTGTCATCGCAGACCATTACCTCAAATTTAAGTTTACTTAGAATTTAACAGCACAGACACTAGATGACTTAACATATATAAATTATTTCACAGACCTTGAAAAATAGGATATTTTATATGTACACAAAGATCTAAAATCCCACTTATGCTGAAATAGTAGGCCTTTTGACAAAATATACCATATATATATATAAAAAAACCATATACAAACCACAGAGAAATCAGGTTAAAATTTTGCAAGTTGTTTATGCCAGAAAACATTTTACCTTTTTAAAAAATGCAGTTTGCATGATAACACACCAAATTTTAATGTAGAAATCAGCTATTCCTCATATATACCATACATTACTTAAAAACATAATAATTAAATGAGAAGCACTTTGCACAAACATGTGTCAAAAAACTCTTGTGGACCACTTACAGCTCTGACTCGAAGAAGATGTGAGATGACAGACTGTAGTTCATCACTGTAGTGCTTTAGTTCAGTAAATCTCCTGAAACAGGAAACATAAAAACATCATTTTTCTCATGAAAACACATCAAAAACTGAAAGACAAAACAGTACAGTTGACTCTTAAACAACACAGGTTTGAACTGCACAGGTCCACTTAAATGTGGCTTTTTTTCAACAAATACTATAAATGTATTTTCTCTTCCTTATGATTTTCTTAATAACATTTTCTTTTTTCTAGCTTACTTTATTGTAAGAATACAGTATATAATACATATAACATAAAATATATGTTAATGGACTATGTTACTGGTAAGACTTCTGGTTAACAGTAGGCTATTAGTAGTTAAGTTCTGGGGGAGTCAGAAGTTATACTGATTTCCAACTGGGGGGAGGGGGGGAGTGTCAGCATCCCTAAGTCCCGTGTTGTTCAAGGATCAACTGTAGTTCCTGAGAATAATAAAACTGATTCTACTTAACTATATTCTGGCCTTGAAGATTTACATACCTATACAAATTCAAAAAATTTTAAAATAAAACCACCATACTTTCTTTCGATATTTTTAAAGCCAGGTAAAGATGTCATACTTCATGATTTGTACTGTTGGACTAAGAGATAATATTTGTTGATATGAAAAATTACTTGAAAACAAAAACAGGAAAATTCATGGTGCTAAAAGAATCTTATGGTGCAGCCATTAACTCATGGTCCCTAACCTCATCTTAATGCTGTTCAGTAATCTGTTTCCCTAAGCTAGTTAAGTACCATTCTCCATTAAGACCTGAAACTGTGAGACCACTGCCTGTCATTCTCCAACCAAGCTTCAAAGATTAAACAGAAGTCATCAGATAGGAATTACCTCCAGCTCCACTTCCTGTCAGTCAAGTTAAGAAACTTCCCAATATCTACATCTATTATTTCTTCCTTCCCTCTAGGATCCTTCTTCCCATCCAATACTCTTGATTCTATCTCAGCTACACTCCATATTCCTATCTTCTAACTTTCTCTCTACAAGCTCCTTCTGATTAGAACATCAATTAATTTAGGGTCTCTCCTAAATTAAAACACACACACACACACACACACACTCACACACACACACACACTCTTGACAACACACCCAACTATTGACACCTTCTCAATACCCAGCCTTTCACAGCCACACTTTTACAAGGCATTACCTCTCTAGCAATAACCACTTCCCTTCCCATTCACTGCTCAGCCCACTACAATCTAGTTTTGCCTCCAGCACTTCAGTGGAGAGATATTCCTGACAAAGTCAACTACTATTTTCATGTTGTTAAAATCCACTAATATACTTTAGTTCTCATCTTACTCGATCCTTCCAGCAGTGTAACAGCTCACCTCGCCCTCCTCAAAAATTTGTTCCTTTGACATCAGTGTCATTTTCTTATGATTTTTCTTTAATTCTCTAGTAATTCCTAAAGACTCTTTTGCAATACTCACTTCCTTCACCCATCTCTTACACCCCAACTTTGAGTGCAAAGAACTCCTGAAGTGTTTGTTAAAAACACTGAGAGCCTCTCAGGATGACAGGCTATGAGTAACTCGCACAACTACACACAGAGGCTCTAGTGAGATTCAGGAATCTGAATTTATAACGATGATTCAAATGCTGGTAATCTTCAGATGACACTTTGGAAAATACTCTAAAAGTGTTGGCTTCTTTAGGATTCAGTCCTAGGTCCTTAGTCATCTTAAAATCAATAGTTCAATCTACACACTCTGTGTGACTTATCACTCATAAAGCTTCACAATTATAATCAACATACTGCTAAATTCCAAATTTCTATCTCCAGCTCCAACTCTCTCTCCTAAACACCAGATCTACAATATAAAGCCAACCGATTAGCAGCCATTTGTATGTGCTCATATCCAAAGCTCAACTTATCCTCCCCTGTCCTCCCAAATGTCTCTCCTATGTTCCCTAGCACTTTAAAGAAGGAAACCTGGGTACCATCTGTACTTACTTCCTCTCTCCTCATCCCATATGTTCTACAAAACACTCTCCTAAATATTTCCAGAATATTGTCTAAATATTGCCACATAAAAGTAGAAGACTCGAGGTCTTCTCATCACTGGTCTTAACAGTCTATTTTGAAGAAAGATAAACATGTATGAAGCAAGTATCATTTTGACAGTCCTTCTGAAACAATCTTTCTGGTTTTCTATTCTAGATTTTAAGAAAAGATGGAATACAAGTATTTTAGTGATGTAAACTATTTTAATAATGGTATGAATAATAATTAATCTATTGGGCCAGCTAGACCTAGAACAGATTCTGTACATTAAGAATCTGTTATAACAGTGATGTAGACAATTCTCTTATCTAGAACTTAAGACAAATTCTATTACTAGTTATATATTATACATTTTAACAAGAACTTAGAAGCAAAAAACTGCCTTGGTTATATTATTGGTCATATCACATTGAAAATTTCATACAGTCATGGGCCACTTAATGACAGGGATACAGTTCCAAGAAATACGTTGTTAGGTGATTTTATCATTGTGCAGACATCACAGAGTGTACTTAACCCAAAACTCAATGGTATAGCTTATTGCTCTTAGGCTACAAGCCTGTACAGCACATCACTATATAAAACACAAGATTAAATCAAGTGCTAGAGAAAATAATCCAATCAACAGATGCTGTGAGCATGAGGTGTATGAAGCTGCTGCCAGCATAACATGGCACACTCTTTCACAGCAAACTTTTTTTTTTGTATGTAGAAAGTACACTCTAAAATAACAATAAAAAGTATAGCATGGTAAATACATATGCCAGTAACATAGGTGTTTATTATCATTACCAAGTATTATGTACTGTACATAATTGTATGTGCTATACTTTTATGTGACTGACCGTGCAGGTTTGTTTATACCAGTATCACCACAAATATGTTTATAATGCCTTATGACATTTAAGATGGCTCCAATATCACTAGGAGATACGAACTTTTCAGCTCCATTATAATCTCATGGGACCACTATTATATACGCAGTCCATTGATGACTGAAACGTTATGTGGTGCATGACTGTATATAGTATGAATATTAAATAAAATTTAGCAATCTCGAGAACCTGGTTAGGTCAGAAAAGACAAACATTCAATTGATAAAATATTGATATATTAATTATTAAATTAATTTAATATATATTAAAATATTAATTTAAAAAGTCTCATCTACATGCTTCTCTAGTGAAAGTACATCCATCAATGTCATAAGCTTTGCTTATAAGGTCTTCCAAAGTTATTTTTGAAGGGTGACATAACTTCAGTTCTTAACCTAGGGAACATCGCTTATGTATCATGGATGTCATAACTCTTAAAAAAAAAAACCTCTGTAGAACCTTAACTGCTGCATATCACAACGTGAAAGAAGCCAATCTGAAAAGGCTACATACAGTATAATATGACTTTCCGGAAAAGGTAAAACTATGGTGACAGTAAAAAGATCAGTAGTTGCCAGGACTAACTGGCAGGGAGGGATAAATAGGCAGGGAAAAGAGGATTTTTAGGGCAGTGAAAATACTTTGTATGATACTATAATGATGCATACATGTCATTATACATTTGTCCAAACCCATATAATGTACAACACTAAGAGTGAATCCTAATGTCAACTATGGACTTTGGGTGATAATGAAGTGTCAATCAATGTAGGTTCCTCGATTTTAACAAATGTATCCTCTGGTGAGGGATGCTGATAGAGTGGGAGAGGCTGTGCGTGCAGATCTGGGGACTGACTGTTCATGTGTAGGGCAGATGGCATATGGGAGGGAGCTCTGTACTTTCTGCTGATTTTGCTGTGAACCTAAAACCAAAAAATAAAAAATAAAGTCTCTCTCTCTCTCTCTCTCTCTCTCTATATATATATATATATATATAAAATCTCAATGGTTACTATCAATTTCCTAATTAACAAAACTTTAAAATATTTATTATTTTATACTCAAAATGTATATTAAAAAACCAGAGGCATTATACTAATGTATTATGGTTTATAAAGTCAGGCATAATAGGCTATCAGACTATGCAAACTTGGCCTTTGTCTGCTAAGTACTTACACTACGTAGAAATTAATGCTGAAGGCCCACCTGGAGAAACTCAAACAGACCTCATAAACTTAGTCTTTAAAAATGGAAAGGCCTCAACTGCCGAAGTACATTTCTAAATGAAAAACTCAGCTAAACCAAATGCCAGGTAAAAGTCCATATAATGAAGAGCCTGAATTATCCACCAAATTCTGAGAATGAGCAAAACCAAATCTTAAGAAATACCTAGGTCCCATCCTAAGAAAAGTTATTTCTGAATATACTAGCTTCCTTTAATGTAGAAATGCTCTCACAAACACCAAACTGACATTAATGAAGTCAAATAATTGTCATGTAAATATATCTCTGTGTGAGATTATTATACTAGTATACATTTATCTATCAAGTTTTCTCCATATGCAAACTAGAAAGTTTATTAAAATGTATATAATATATAATCTTATCTTGAGCTTTGTACATTTTTGACAACCAAAGTCATATGAGAAAAGCTATTTTATATGAAATTCAAATTGCTTTTCTCACTTTTCTTATATCTTCAACAACATTTAATAAATCCTTCTAGAAAAAAAGCAGTGGTTTAAACTTTCTAAAACTTCAGACACTTATAACCTTCAATCCAATAAAGTCACCAAATTTCAAAATCAGTTTGAGACTATGAAAGGATTTCACTAAATGTGAATTACTATTTAAAATATTTAGCAAATAAAGTGCATACATTCAGAAATGAAAAATTAAATAGATTGATAAACACAATTCAAAACAACATTGTAACTGTTATTAAAACAAAACCTTACTTGTCTGGGTTTTTCACTCTGAATGTTGCATTAAGCGCTTTTAACCTGGAGTCTGCCTGGAAAAAATAATTTATTCACTTAATACAATTATATTTCAGGGTAAATCCAAACAGTTTTATTTTCCTTTTAGAATTAAGATGCTCAAGTACAGTTTTCTTCATATCATTTGTGTCAAACACATTCAACATACCTAAAAAAACAACTTGGCAGTTATTTTTGAAAACACTACAAAAATGTTACAAATTAAACTGAATACATGGCATTCAATAATATCAAACAACTGTAAACACTAACATGCTAATAGGCACATAGCTCTGCATTACTGTAATTCAGACTAGATCGTGTGAAAAAAGTTTACTTTTTCTCTAAATCAAGAAAAGCAATAATCTATATATATAAACTAAATAAAAGTACTGCTTTGAAGCTTGTGCATTTACTGAAGGTAGTTTTCTCAGATGGAATCCAAACCAAATGTACATTGGTTTTTCTCATTTTCCTGATCAGTATTTTAGAAAAGAAATATGGACATGCCTGTACTAAAGTAATACTGTATTAAAGTAAAACAAGCTTATAGATAATATCAAAGTACTTTCTAGCTGGCAGAAAATGTTACAAGACAACACAACTTTTAAACTATCTTTCCTTATTTCTAGATAACTGCTGTCAAAGGAGGGACAGAGGGATCAACACTAAATAACAATTCCAATGTATAAATATATAGTTAATATATCCAAATCCTACCCTAAGATCTCATAAAAAGAAAACAAACAACCAACCAAAAAAACACACTAAATTACTTTTCGGACCAAGCACAGAAACTATAGGGTTCAGTAACAGGTAGCTCAATCAGGAATCGATTTCATAATGTGGTTTAGTTTTTTAAATCCCAATCAGCTTGAAAATTTTATATTATTCCAACTTCCAATCCATAATTACAAATATTCCCAAAATAATAAAACAAACAAAACAAAGCAAAAATACTAGGGCTCCCCATATTACCTGGCTAAGAAAATTTTAAAATGCAACAAATATGCTACCCGATAAACTCAGCCTCCTAGAACTTCAGACCAAAAGAAATTCAGAGGCATGAAGAATATCTAAAGAAGCTTAATTTGTCACTGATTTCAGTGTATTCTCTTATTTCTAAAATTAGCATTTTACTAATTCTTGATCTTTCTTACATCTCAAGGGCAAATGAGCTAATGAAAAAGTCCTTACAAATAATAGCACCTATGAATTTAAGTCATGTTACTTCCTAATGTTCTTTAAATTAATTAAAATCACTAAACAGTATTAATGACTTTACAGTCACATGCAAATATGATTCTTTAAATGAGGATGAAATTCCATAAAAACCATCAGTAAAAAAGAAAATTTTCATTTGTACCTTTTCTTGAATCTCATACTTCTTAATACCACCAATTTATTTTTTATTTTTAATATCACCAATTTATCAATTTAGAAGTCATATAAAATGTAAACTATCCTAACCTTTGCTTACCAAACATTGTCAGGTCAGGTCCATCACAACACTCAACTCAATCTGCTTCATTATCTCACAAGATTCCATACAAAGAGAAGTTGCCTAAAATGTCACCAAACCAGAAACTTCTCCCCAAAGCTATAGCTCTAAAAACTACTTGGACTGTTCTAAATCTGACACATTATCATTGATCTTATCAGATTCCCCATTAAAAATCTAAAGAAGCCCTTCCAGAAGTACAGATTTCCAGATATAAAATAAGTTGCGAGGATGTAATGTACAGCATAGAAATAGAGTAAAAAATATCATAACTATGTACAGTGACAGACACCAGACTTACTGTGGTAATCACTTTGTAAGGTATATAAATTCTGAGTCACTATATTGTACACCTGAAACTAATATAATATTGCATATCAACTATAATTAGAAATAAATTAATTTTAAAAATAGAATTTAAAAGCCCTACAACATTGTTTCATACCACCCTAATTTTATTTCCTTTAACACATCAATACCTGAAATTATCTTAATTGTTTCTTAGCTGTCCACTAGAATATGAGTCATCCATAAAAAACACAATGTGAATGGTGCTCCCTGGAGTTGCACAAAGACTGCCATGGCAATACTTTAATCTGCTTTCTACTTTGTTCGTTGCTGTATCCCAAAGCCTCACAATGCCTAGCACAATAGAGACATGTAATACAGGGTGTGATCACAAAATACGCTGAATGCTGCTGCTGAGTGCCATCCAATGAATAGGCAAGGATCTTCAATACGGAATCGGAGTGTCAAACCTTAGTAACTGTGTAACAAGTTTCAACTTGTTCAGTGCAGTCAGTTGGGTGTGAGCTATGGTTGAGAGAAGGCGTTTTAAGTGTGCCATAAATCATCGCCCATCATGACAACACTGTGTCACACATCACTTCTGGTGTACTGCAATTTCTGTCATCTAAAAACATTACGGTGTGTCTTCATCTGCCTTATTCACCGGATCTGGCACCGTGCATATTTCTGGTTCTTCCCCAAAGTCAAAATGATTCAGGACATCGAGGCAGCCATGACAGTGCATCTAAAGACATTCACAAAAGACGACTTCCAGAACTGCTTTAGAAAGTGACAAGAATGATGGGATAAGTGTGTTCGAAGTGAGGGGTAGTATTTTGAGGGGGACTAATGGCAATGTGTCTTTTACCGGAATAAATTTTTTAAAACATTCACCGCATTTTTTTTATCACACCTTGTAAGTTATTGGCTGAATGGAAAATTAGCCTATTCTATATAGCCCTAAATTATACCCTTTCCCATGTTCTCCTTTATTTTTTTATTAATTTTTTTTACTATTATTATTGGTTTCAGGTGTACAAAACAATGTAATGGTTAGACATTTTACCCCTCACAAAGTGATAACCTTCCTCCCCCAATCTACTGCCCCTCTGACATCATAGATACTTATTCCCATGTTCTCCTTTAAAACCTACCTCCCTCTCCCTTTCCAATTCCTATTATATACTTTCCTTTCCCTGTCCTGGACCTTATCTTTCCTTTATTTCATTTCCTGATTCTTACCTTCCTCCAAACCTTGCCTAGTAAACCACCACCCAGGTTGGCCTCTCTCTAACATAGGCCCTCTAGGTTGACTCCATCTCAGGTTTTTTATTATTCAGGACTCAGCTCAAATATTACTTCTTCAACCATGTGACCTAGCTTGCTCAGGACAGTCCTGGTTTATACCTGTTGTCCTAGTCTAATTTTTAATAGTGCCCCTTTTCACTCTCAAAAGTACCTCCATTTTGTCACCTATCTCAAAATAACCCTTGGGAAAAAAATCTCTGCTGTCATACTCTTACACAGAGATGGTTTATTTCCTTTATATCACTTACAACTACTTTAAAGCACCTTATTTAAATGTTAATGTCTCCAACTACTAAAATACATATGCCATAAGAACATGGAGCTTATGAATGTTTCTAGATCATTCGCTAATGTATTTACAGCACTTAGTGTACCTGACACTCTGTGGGTACCCAGCATTTAGAATCTCTACATTAGCTCTCTTGGAGTTCCTGTACAATACACAGATTAAGAGAGATCCTAAGGGCTCAGATCCCATCTCTGGCAGTCTCTGCTCCACGCAACAGACAGATTTGGGATTCTCCTGAGTCAGCTGAAATTCATTTAAGGTTCTCCTTTCACTAAATTGATTAATATGAGTATTATATAAATATTCAAGAAAAAAGGAATGCCAATATACAGTAGTGATGAAAAGATTTGTTGTTCATGCTTGTGTTAAATAAAACACGGATAAAAACAAACTAAATTTTTATAATTATCTTGCTGGGAATAATAATTAATCTAAGATTTAAGAAAATATTAATCTAGTAGGCTCAAACTAGAGATTAAATTAAAAATGTCTGAAAAAAGAAAAATTAAAGTAAGCTGACATTTCATTTCGAGGAATGACAATCCAAAAGCCACGGTCAAATATTCTTATAAAAGTATAAATATTTGGTCTGATTCAGAATGATCTCATTTTCACTGAAACTTGTCAATGGTTTCCAACACTTCGTTTACCAACCATTTATATATATATATTAATTACACAGCTAATAGGTGAAAAGGGAGGTAATGTGGGATGGTAATCAACAAGGGCTTTGATTTAGGCCTAGATTTGGATTCAGACTCCATCATTTATTAACTATGTGATCTTGGGTAAGTCATTTTCTAGAGTTCCTCATCTAAAAGATGGGAATAATAATGAACTAACCTCAAAAGTACTAAGGCAATACTTACTGGAAAAAACAAATACAGTATATTATAGTGCAATGAGTAGCACACAGTAAACATATAATTATAATGCTAATAATATTCAGATAAGATATTCCTTTAGGTTCTAAAAACTTTTTATTTTTATTTTTATTTTTTACCATTTTGACACTTTCTAAAATTATCTTCCTAAAAAATACTCCTACTTTTCTTTATCACCTTGCAGCAATGGTTGTCAAATTTTAGGTTAGTGGAAATCAATATGTCTGGGATGAACTCTAGGATTCAGTATTTCAACAAATAATCCCAACAAATTAAGATGCACAAAGCTGGCTGGTCAAACTTTAAGACAAACTGAATTAAAAAAACAACAATACAAAACTTGGGCCAGTCGAGTGGCTCAGTTGGTTAACAGTTGGCTTAAGAGTGCGGGATCCAAGCAACCAGGTCGCCGGTTCGATTCCCAAATGGGCCAGTGACACTGAGCCCAAGCTGAGCTGTTGCTGAGCTGCCAACAGGTGGCAGGATAGCTCAGCTGGTGTAACAACAAGATTGCCTGTTCAATGGTGGGCTACACCCACCCGCAACTAAGACTGAACTCAGCACCTTGAGCTGAGCTGCCGCCCAGATGGCTCAGTGTGCTCTTAACAACAAGGCTGCTGGGTTCGAGTCCCGCATGGGATAGTGGCTATGCCCACCCACAACTAAGACTGAATACCTTGAGCTGAGCTGACGCCTGGATGGCTCAGTGGATAGAGCATGCGCTCTTAACAACAAAACTGCTGGTTCGACTCCCGCATGGGATGGTGGCTACACCCACCTGCAACTAAGATTGAACACAGCACCTTGAGCTTAGAGGCCACAAGTTGCCGACGGGAAGCCAGATGGCAACTGGCGCCCTCCACAACGAGGATTGAAGAACAACAACTTGGCTGGTCCCCTTCCCCAATTCCTCAACACTGTTCCCCTCCCCCACTTCCCCAATAAAAATCCTAAAAAAAAAAAACCAAAACAACTAGCTGCATGCTAAAAATAAAAGAAAGCATCATTGAATTACGAACACACAGCAAGCATAATTCAATCTTTTCTAGAGGCCTCCAGGTAACCACTATAAACAACTAATACTGAATCCATCTGTGATTGTAGTGAAGCTCTAATAGCTACACAGGTACATGAGAGTTTGGCCCCATGCCAAAGGCCTTCATACTGCAGTGTTTGACTCTCATATCATTGTTATCCTTTCTTGCTATCAGGCTCAGCTGTCAATTTTCACTATTGTCACAGTGTGCCTGTCTCCAATAGTATTATTGACCTTTAGACCTTTTAAATTTTCTTCTACTATGTTGTAATCTAGAAATTAGCCAAGTCTGTTTGAATAACTATAATAAAATTAAGTGGGTCCTATCTTAAAGGACCAAAGTATTTCTGTAAGTATAGTAGTAAGCCATATTATATCCATCTGAACATCTCAGAAGTCAGTTTTGCTTAAATCCCAACTTTCAGCTGCGGGCAGGTTAGTTGAAACTGCCAAATACATGACCTCCAGATAAATTAAAGATGAGTGTGTGTGTGTGCGCACGTGTGCACATATGTATACGTAAACATCACATACATGTTTGTATGTGTGCACACATATACATATGTGTTTGAAGTGGTCCAAAAAGGTCTCATTTCATTAATGGAAGGACGTAAACCAAGAAACAGCCACAAGAAAATAAGAAATACAGTAAGACACACGGGTTTCCAAATTCTCGCCATACATTTTATTTCTGCTCCATTTCAATAAGTCGACTTTTCAAGTTATTTATATTGTATATTAAGTATTATTACTTTTCAAAGACTTTATAAAATAAAACCAGTGTTCCAAGTTTTTACCATAAGGTTACCCAAATATATTATATCTGAACACTTAAATAGCACCTACACACAAGACAAAGCATTCTGTAAACAGCATAGTCTATTTGGATGGAGAAATTCAAGAATTTTCTCAAGGTTACCAAAATTATGGCCAAAATTGGGTTCAAGGACAAACAACTGATAACTAGTTACTAAACTAATGACTGAAGAAATCAATGACTAAAAATTTTTAAGTTTTCTATTATATGAAGAGACATATAATACAATTATATTTTAGTTTGCTCTTTTCCTTATTTTAGCTCCTAACATCTTAGGGTAATTCTCAGAAAACCTTATCAAAATATAATTTTTTAAAGTTTATCTTTATTTCAAATCCATCTCTAAACTAAAATTCTAGTATACTCTCTGAGCACCATAAAGTACTAAATACAGCTAAGAAAATTCTAATTTTTTCATGTTGACAGAATTATAGATACCTAATCATGTTTTTTGTGCAAAAACATGTTTTCCTACTTTTTTTTGCGCTAAATTTCAAATACCTATATACCAATGCATAAATCTCTAGGGGTGTTTTTATAATTACTGTAAAGACATTCTGTTCTTCTCACCTAGATCTATTTAACTTTTGTTACTGTATTATCATGTGAATCACTTATCAATGTATGTATTATATCAATTTATATTTTTCTACTTACCTATTCAATTTACACAAGAGATGAAGACTTTCAAAAATTTGCAACAATCAGTTTTTTGGGGACAACAGGGAGAGAAGGGTGGAGTTAGGGGTGGCCATTTTACCACCACTATGCTCTTCAATTTTAAGTTAACAATTTCACTCCCAAATACTAACTCTAATGACTAAACTTGAAAAGCTGTACAAAAACTAAGCCTATATCACTAACAGATGCTAATTCAAAATGACTCTGGTGCCACTCAAAACTGGCCACCATGTCCCAGTAGAAAGAAGAAACATGACTGATGGCTCGTCATTTAGTTTACTGTGATTGGAAAACCCAACCTCAATTCTTTAGAAATGTTTTTCATATCTGATGAATAGTGAGCAGTTATGGGAGGCACCACTGCCAAGTGGCAGAGGTAAGGACAGAAAGAAAAAGAAAAAAAAAAAAGATGCAAAGTATAATATGAATATAACGTGGGACATATCTACAGCTTGTATCTAAATTACTGCTTCAAAATGTTCTTTCCCAATAAAATTAAATTCATAAATGTTATTATAGTCTCACTAGTAACTAAAATCACGCAAATCAAAATTAAAAGTCAGTGTTTTTTTGAAAACCCTACCCAACGATACTACTCGTTTTTTGTGTTTGTTTTTTTTTTTAGCTGAGCCATCCTGCCACCTGTTCGCAGCTCAGCTCAGGCCGTGAATTGAACCGGCGGCCCTGTTGCTCAGAGCTCGCACTCTTGAGCGTGCTCTTTTTTTTTTTTAAAGATTTTATTGGGGAATTGGGGGATGGGAACAGCGCTGGGGAATCGGGGGAAGGGGAACAGACAAATTACTGTTGTTTTGTTCTTCAGTCTAGTTGTGAAGGATGTTGCTTCATTTGCCCAAGCTGGCACCATCATTGCGCTCTTCCCGGGTAAGGCAGATCAGTCGCCAGTAGCTTATGGCAGCCCACTGCAGCAGGGGACTGCAGCCAATGCCATCGCCGGCGACCCACGGCAGCCCAGCCCCAGGTCAAACTGCCGTTCACCATTTTAGCTGCAGAGGGCAGTGTCACTGGCCCTCATATGTGGGAACCGAACCAAGGCCCTCTGGCATCCCAAGCCAGTCCTTAACCAACGTGCCACTCGACCGGCCCTCTTGAGCATGCTCTTAACCAACTGAGCCACTCAGCTGGCCCTTTACCCAAAAATATTAGATACAAAACGTATTTCCAACATTCATTCATTCAATAAATAGCATACTCATTAAGTACACAGCACTGTGCTGGCGATTGTAAAGGAACATGACAAAGTATTTCATACAAATGTTCTTACCTTCAGCTGAAACCCAGTTTCATTCACAGTCTCCTTCCAGTTACCCTCCTAAAAATTAAAGTTAATTTTAGAAATCATTACACAATAGAACAACATAAGGTACATTCCAAATTAAGTAAAATACCTATCGTTCTAGTCTTCTTTTAGGGGATATAGGATAAACAGGACACATAGATAGATAAAAAAATAATTATTTTCACTTCAAAATTAAACACACAATACAGATTCCAAAACATTACCATAAGATGAACCCAAGATTTTACAGTTGGGGCTTCAAAAAACTAAAGACTAACTTTGATATCATTTAAGTGATTCCAAAAAGTACTGTCTTCAGTATCTTTAAGTATAAAAGCATTAGCCAAAAGAATGATGCAGCCAACAATTTTGAAATTCAAAACAAACAAAAAACAATGTATACAAATTAACAAAACTGCTCCATTCCAATTAGACTTACAGGGTGATGGCTTTATAAGTTATATAAATGTCTAATCACTATGTTGTACATCTGAAACTGATATAATATTATGTCAACTGCAATTGAAAAATGAAAACATTTTTTTAAGTATTCCACAATTTAAAATTTAAAAAAATTCCAAATCAAATGAATTTTTTTTTTAAACTGAAAGAAAAATACCTGTGTTAAAAACAAATAGAAGATTTTGTCTCTACAAAGGATGGGATGTGAAGCAACTCTCAAGAGGAAGTTTTCTAAACCAATTCGTCGTCTTTCCACAAAATCTGGGTCCATGTTGTCAGCAGAGAGTTTATGCCAAACAAATTCTGCCTAGGTAAACAAAACAATCATGAAGAATAGTCTCAATGTTAAATACTTCTTAACTATACTGCCATTTCACTTCTTACCCTTTTTTCTGGTAGAGGTGGCACAACAATATGTGGATAGTAAACTAAAAGGTAGTTTCTCAACAACTCAAATTCACTATACCGCCTCCACAGTGAGTCTGTTAGGACACTCTGACCATCAGTATGTTCCACTGACCTGAAAAGAAATAGAGCAAGATTTCTATTATTTTTTAAAAAAATACAAATACATACATACAACCTCCTTTAAATTTTATAATTCCATTTACTGAATACTTATAAACCAGGCACTGAGTAAAGAACTTTTCATGTTTTAGCTTACTTAATCCTCACAACCACCCTGTGAAATAGGGAATCTCGCCCGCATTTTACCAATGAGGAAGCAGCTGCACAGCAGATGCTCTTCCTACAATCACAGCAGTCTGTGGACAGAACACTCTGAGCATCTGACCAAAGCCCTCGCTCCTAACCACTTTCCTTCTGTTATTGAAAACGTATTGGACTCAAGAGAAATAGTCATATTAGGAAGTTCTAAAAGCCTCAATGTAGTCAGTTAATGTATAATAGATTTTATACTACAGGAAAATCTGGCTTAGCACTGTTTCATTAAATAAAAAGTATTTTTAACTGCACTTCTGCCATAGTGAGAGACCAACATTCATGCTGAAGACCAAGAAACTGCAAAAATCTTGGTTCAAGGTTATAAAGGAATCGGATGCATCCAAGAACCAGAAAATATCCACAAAACAAAATGTTAATTAACTCTGGGTAGGGGGGAGGACGGGAATGTAAAAATTCATCTCTAGTCCTACTTTAAATATAAAGGCAATGCCAAGTCTCATCCATATAAAAGTTCAACTTATAGTTGGGGGAAGTTAGGATAAAATTATATAAAACATATTTGAAATTATCTTGACTACTTAAGATTTCTGCTAGCATAATCACTGTTAGAAAGCATCAGTGTTCTAAACATTATCAGGACCTTATTTTCTAATTGTTTGCTTAACAATAACTTACAGGCCCTCCAAGAAACATGCATATAACCACAATGTGCATTTGTACATTAGGGCATAAAGGCACAGAAGCTAAATCAGTCTTGGAATAAAGTCTTGAGAAAGTATATACACTATGTCATATTCAGCACAAAAGATATTCAATGTTTTTATTATTTATATATTAAGTTTGCCACTAAATTTATTTATTGAATATTAATAAAAAGGAAACAAAATATGAAATTCAAACCGTGCAAATTTCTCTCATGACAAAAATATAGGATTATTAAACCATAATTCATTTTAAAGAGTTGATCTAACCATTAACTATGATTATTACTATTCCAATAATTCAGATTTTCAACTTCAGTGGAAAAAATATCTAGGTTAATATCAAATTTCAAATTATTCAAAATCATTACCAACAGAACCCATATCTTGCTAATAAGTAGATAAACCTAGGCTATAAGCAGTACACCTAGAAGGCTGTCAGAAGACCTTCTAAGTGTTCAAAAGAAAAAAGGCCACTTAAAGTAGGGTCTAGTCATTGGAAACAGACTAAAAACAGAGAAGACTTTCATTAGACCACAAAACCATCCCATGTATTCAATCTTTTACAAATATTTAATAGCACATAATTGGTTTTACAAGCAACATTTAATACAACCCTCACAATAAAGTAGATAATATCATTAGCCCCGTTTTACAAATTACTAGACGAATTAAGTAATGACATCTTACTGCGTCCCAAACCACCGAGGCATTCTTACCTATTCTAAATGAGGCATATTCTTATCTACTTTAAAAGCGTTCATATTCTATGAACAGGAAAACACAAAATCTCTGGAAAAATTAAAAACCAGTGACTTTAACTTTATTCAATCTTAGCCTACTGAACTATAACACTATTAACAATTGCTAAATGGGCTTTCTACTTGTATCCAAAAAGTAAGTAGGTAAGCTATATGATAAAAGTGCAACTCTTAGTTAACATCAAAAATATTGATATTGTCCAAGATTATCTGCATAACACTAAATTACAGCAAGAATCCTATATAATTAAGAAACTCATTCTGTGGTTGTTTAAGGTCAGTTAACCTTAGAGGCACTTACAAAATAATCTACTCAAAACAGCAATTCTCAAAGTAGATATCTAATGATATGGGGTAGGCAAGAATTTCTTAAAATAGGAAAAACACAAATCATAAAAAAAAAGCCAGCTAAATTTTACTACCTTAAAATTTAAAGTCTTTGTACTTTAAAAGATAATCAAAAGTGTGGTCCACAGCCCGTCTGCTTCAAAAATAGCTAGAGCTTTGGTTTAAAAATGTAAACTCCTGGACCCCATCCAAAACCCTGCAGCTGTTAAAGAATTCTCCATGTGATTCCTATATATTTCAAAGTCTGAGAACCACTGTTTTAAAATAAATTTATAATGAAATACAATCATAAAAGTCAACTCAATAATCCTTTTGTGTACCACACATTTACTTATGATCCACCTAAATATGTATTCAGAGTCTAGCTATGTTACTCAAGTATGGTCACTTCTAACATCCAGTTTTAAATTATGATACTCTGCATTTCAAAGTCAAGAGTAAACAACTATAAATTTCTCCAGATTATTCAAATCAAGATACTCTTCCAGCAGTGAAAGTAATCACCAGGTAATTTCACTGCTCAACAGGGTAAAGAAATAGGCAAATACTAAAATATCCTGATTAATTTTAAATTTTATTTAGAGGGCCAGCCAAGTGGCTCAGTTGGTTAAGAGCGTGAGCTCTGAGCAACAGGGCCGCCAGTTCAATTCCCACATGGGCCAGGTGAGCTGCACCCAAGCTGAGCTGCCGCTGAGCTGCCAACAGGCAGCAGGATGGCTCAGCTGGTTAGAGCATGTGCTCTTAACAACAAGGTTGCCAGTTTGACTCCCATATGGGATGGTGGGCTACGCCTACCCGCAACTAAGATTAAACACAGCACCTTGAGCTGAGCGGCCGCCAGCTGCTGGTGGGAGGCCGGATGGCGACGGGACTTGGAGCTGAACTAGCTGCACTCTCCACAACTAAGATTGGAGAACAACAACTTGGCTGTTCCCCTTCCCCAATTTCCCAACACTGTTCCCCTCCCCCAATTCCCCAGTAAAATCTTAAAAAAAAAAAAAAACTTATTTAGAAAGCTAGAGCTAACACTAATTTATGAAGTTAAAAAAAAAAAGAAACTCTCTCATGACATTTTTTTTTAATCACCTTCTTAAAAATCTTTGTGATACATGCCACAAAATGACCTAACTTTATTTTAATTTTTTTTAAACTTTACTGAAGAACAATGTGTTTCTTCAGGGAACAATGTGTTTTTTTCCAGGACCCATCAGCTCCAAGTCAAGTTATTGTCCTTCAGTCTTAGTTGTGGAAGGAGCAGCTCGGCTCTAAGCCCAGTCATCGTTTTCAATCTAGTTGCCGGGGGCGCAGCCCACCATCCCATGAGGGAGTCGAACCGGCAACCTTGTTAAGAGCTCACATTCTAACCAACTGAGCCACCTGGCCGTCCCAAAATGACCTAATTTTAAAAAGACCCACCTTACTTCTCTTTTCCTAACATGCCTATTATACGCAAATTTATCTAGTTTTTGAAAGACTCTTTTTTCTTTTCTTTTTTTTGGTGAGAAAAGAAACTATAATTACAGAGAGAATTTTCAGAACTGACTGAAGATTAAACTAATTTCACCAAGATTTTAACTTTCATTTTGGGTAGAACCACAGACCTAGAGAAAGCCTTGAAAAGTTATAGGGTTTAACCTTAAGGCAAGCTTGGAGACTTGGTAAAACCAATGAAAATGGAGGGTTTAAAATTTTTTTTCTTAAAAGTGTATTTACAGGGCTGCCGGTTAGCTCAGTTGGATCAAGTGCAGTGCTCATAACACCAAGGTTACCGGTTCGATCCCTGCATGGGCCACTGAGATGCATGTACCCTCCACAACGAGATTGAAACAACTACTTGACTTGGAGCTGATGGGTCCTGGAAAAACACAGTTCCCAATTAAAAAAGAAAAATGTAGTCACAATAAAACATGGATATAACTTTACTAACTAGGTCAAGTAGTCCTATTATTTTATTTTACTGGCTATCAAAAAGTCCTCTCATATGTTTTAATTGAAAGTATTTCTGCTCAGTCTGCAGAGAGAAAAGAACTAGTCAATAAAGTCTTTCTATAAAATGTTTGTAACTGGCAAAATACATTGAGCCTTCGCGTGCCTTTCTCCAGACAAAACAATCTAATTCCTTTAACTTTTTCCTTATGAGCTAAAAGACAACTTTTCTGGTAAGTTTTGATTTCTTACTCCATGATTTATTTTGTCTTATCAATTTTACCCCAAGGTTTCTCAATCCATTTTTTTCTTGTTAATTTCTCTGTAACTCCCAACTTTCCTAAAATGATTTCAATTCTCCTCCTAAACTTCATTGCTAACCATCTCCACTTACCTAAGTCCCCTTAATACACTCCTGAGAACCTAGTCTCCATTCTCAAAATTGCACAGGGATTGTATCTAACACCAAAAACTCCATCAAAGCATGTGTCAAGTAACATTCCAGATCCCAAAAGTATTCCACTAACATTCCCTAGACCACAAAACAAGTACATTAGAATACACATATAACTACCAAGACTACCATAGTAGTAGTCCTCTAGGTGTAGGTGCTCTGTGAAGTTGGAATCTTGCTGTGTGTCGGCCTGTGCACGTGTGCACCAACATGGCCTCAAACGACTGTATCCAACAAGCAACCGAAAGCCAGGGGGTCTCCCCCACCCAGCCTGGACAGGGATATTCCCAGCAGAAAGCAATCAGCCCTATGGACAGTTACGGTGGTTACAGCCCATCAGCGGACACTTCCAACTATGGCCAGAGCAGCTATGGCTCTCATGGACAGATCCAAAACAGACTACATAGCACTCAGTCAGCTCCCCAGGGATACGGCTCAATGGGTGGCTATGGTGGTGGCCAGAGTTCTCAATCGCCTTACGGGCAGCAGTCTTCCTACCCTGGCTATGGCCAGCAGCCAGCTCCTAGCAGCACCTCAGGAAGTTACAGTAACGGTTCTCAGAGCAACAACTATGGAGCCCCAGAATGGGGGCTATGGCCCCCAGCCTGGCTATGGCGGCCAACAGCAAGGTTATGGACAGCAGCAAAGCTCCTATAATCCTCCTCAAGGCTACGGACAGCAGAACCAGTGCAACAGGAGCAGTGGAGGGGGCAGTGGAGGGAACTACGGCCAAGGTCAGTCCCCCATGAGCAGTGGTAGCAGTGGCAGCGGTTATGGCAGTCAGGACCACAGCAGTGCTGGTGGTGGCTACAGGAGAGGCCAGCAGGACCGAGAGGGCCAGGGCGGTGGTTACAATTGCAGCAGTGGTGGCTATGAACTCAAGAGGCCGTGGAGGCGCGGGCATGGGTAGAAGTGACCATGGTGGCTTTAATAAATTTGGTGGCCCTCGGGACCAAGGATCACGTCATGATCTGAACAGGACAATTCCGACACCACTACCATCTTCGTGTGAGGCCTGGGTGAGAATGTTACCACTGAGTCTGTGGCTGACTGCTTCAAGCAGACTGGCATTATTAAGATGAACAAGAAGACAGAACAGCCCATGATTAATCTGTACATGGACAGGGAAACGGGCAAGCTGAAGGGAGAGGCACCGGTGTCATTTGATGACCCACCACCTACTGCTAAAGCGGCTACTGACTGGCTTGATGGTAAAGAATTCTCTGGGAATCCTATCAAGGTCTCATTTGCTACTCAGCGAGCAGATTTCAATCAGGATGGTGGCAGTGGGCATGGAGGCCGAGGGTGAGGAGGACCCAAGGGCTGTGGGGGCTACAGCGGAGGTGGCAGTGACCAGGGCAGATTCCCCAGAGCAGGCGGCGGTGGCGGAGGACAGCAGCGAGCGGGGTACTGGAAGTGCCCTAGCCCTGCACGTGAGAACATGGACTTCTATTGGAGGAATGAATGCAACCAGCGTAAGGCCCCTAAACCGGATGGCCCTGGAGGGGGCCCAGGAGGCTCCCACATGGGGGGTAGCTATGGAGATGATCGTTGTGGTGGCAGAGGAGGCTATGATCTGGGCAGCTACAGAGACTGAGGCGGGGACCGTGGGGACTTCTGAGGGGCCCGGGGTGGTGGGGACAGAGATGGCTTTGGCCCTGGCAAGATGGACTCCAGGGGTGACCACAGACAGGGCCACAGGGAGAGGCCATGTTAGCCTGCCTCTTGAGGTTCTTGAGCTTTTCTTCTATACCCAGTGTTACCCTCATTATTTTGTAACCTTCCAACTCTTGATCACCCACAGGTTTTTTGTGTCAAACTATGTAACTGTAACCATATCTCTGGGTCCCATTAAAACCATCATTTTAGTTAAAATAAATAAATAAATAATAATACTATAGTAAAAGACACACCTGCTTACTTTTGTTGTTAAAAGGAAAAGAAACAAAAAGAACCCACAATCCCTAAAAAGACAATGACCTGTAAACAACTCCGTTATACAACAGAATGTATATCCATAGCTACCAAAGCTTTTCCTACCTAACTTAGGCCTCATTCTAATCACCCACCTTGTTTCAATGAGGTAAGCAGTATATGTTTCTTGCATGTTCATGGCATTTCTTCCAGTTCGCTTTTCTGCTTCTGAAACACTAATTTCTATCTTCTTCAACCAAAAATTATTTTCTGTCATCTGGACAAAAACAAATGGAAGAACAACCAAAAGAAATCCTTTAAGATGGCAATGAAAAAGAAAAAACCAGCTATTATAATAAAATCCATTATTGGCACATATTTCAAACTAGTTTCTTCTATTTCTTAAGTTGCTAGGGTTTGCTACATGACAGCATCGAATGACTTGTCTCTCTTTATCGGCACACTGTAACGCAGCACATTAAACTTTTCCAGAAGCTATTTTAACAGGTATCATACATTTAATTATTAAAACATAGACAATAGGTGAAAAAATTAAAAATAAATTGTAGACATTTCATATAAGTGACCAAGAATCTATATAGTAAAGCGTAAGAAAAATATCTAAAAACACTTAATACAAAGATGAATGATCCTCAATACTGATACCTAATTTTTTATTTTACCAAAGTCAAATATCTCCCCCCCACCAAAAAAAAAAACAAAACATTATACATATGCCAAAAAGCAAAATTTTCAGCAGGCAGTTTAATTATTTTAAAAATAACAGGAGTCATCTTATATTCAATTTTAAATTTATCTAAACTTTTTGGCAGTGTTTAGCAGGCTCCACCTGAGAGTCAGCAGCAGGGTTTAAGAAGAAAAGGGAACAGGAAGAGGGGGCAAAAAAAAAAAAAGAAGACAGAACATCTTTCTTTTCCCACTAGAACATTCCCAGGTCTATACCAAAGGAACAAAAAGAACAACAAACACACCACTGGTGGTTCATATGTTGTAGCACGGGGAGTGCAGCACTGAAGAAGGGTCTTGAACATACCCAATGTAACTCCAAGTCTAAACAAGGAAGACAAAATGAGACAATGTGATGAGTGCTGTGCTTTGGGTTTTTTTCCCCCTTTGCTCACAAAGATGGGATTTAATTAAAAATACTGTACTGTATTATAATTGGGGGCAGTTTGTGAAGAAGAGACATAAGTATAAAAATGGATGCACCAAAGTATATAAGAAAAAGCTGCATATAGTAAAACTTTACACAGAAAATTATACTTTATACAGGAAATTAAGCCTATATGCTATGAGAACAGAAAAAGCTATGTGGTAGTGCAAAAGGTTAAATCAGTGATGAATAAAGATGACACACTTAGGAAGTGCCCCAAAACGTTGAATAAAAATGGAGAAGATAAAAATGCTAATACAAGGTAAAGCAAAAGGACAGAGAACAAATGTTATTAGTCAACAAAAACAGAAATCATACTGTCATCAAATGACATTTTTATAAAGTATAAGTTGTATGTTTATGAACTAAGAGTTAAAATAAAAGACCAGGAGAAAAATCATTCAACTAAGAGAAAGCTCAAGAAATTATATAAACAAAAACCACTCAGTATCAGGATTATGAAACCCTCACTGATTGAGATACACTTATTTTTTAAAAATCATAATTTTGGCCCAGAGCCAAGCACTTTGACTTAACACCTTCTACTCCACTGAAAAATTCCCTGAATTCCAGAAGTACATGACTAATAAAGCAAATTATCTCCCAGGCAAAAAGATAATGCACATGAGTCATGAATTCACCCTGTTATAAAGAAGGAAAAAACATAAAAGAATAAAATCAGCTATCATAAAAACTGAAGAATGGCACACAGTAATACCATCAGGGTTTAAAATATGATATAAAATTGCTTATACTGTCAATATTAAAGCACAAACAGTGCCAAGAATAACTCAACTGATATGATAATTGTTAAAAGAACACATTCAACAGGTTTCGAAATGGAATGACTTGATGACTGGAAGATGAGCCCAGGAACATGTTTTAAAGAGAGATACAATATTTTAGATGTATTCAAAGCAGACTTCTCATAAGAGTGAAGAATATCATTACAGAAAGAGTGATGCAGGGCTGGCCGAGTGGCTCAGTTGGTTAAGAGCTCGCTCAAGAGTTTGAGCTCTGAGCAACAGCGGTTAGCGTCCCGGCCCGAACCGAGCAGCGGCTGAGCTGCCAACAGGTGGCAGGATG